TGGTCTGACTAAGAAACTGCACCCCAAGCACCTTCATTTCCCTCTCTTCCTCTGTTCACTGGGTGACCATGGCTGTAAGATCTTGGCTCATTAGGGATCCCGGATGTATTCTGGTGCACTGCTTTGAACTGATCTAGCATGAACCGTCTGTACTAGAATAGACCTGTAATCAAAATTTTCAGGAGGTTTTCTTGTTTCCAGATCTTGCATGATACCACCTGTTAAGGCATGATATCCAAAATGTGTGATGGTAAATGGTGTGTTCCTTAAATATTCATTCTTTTCAGGTATTGACTAGAACTTTCTGGTTGGTTTATTTTTCCTTGTGTTTTCTTTACCTCTTTTAATCACAGTTATTTAAAGATAAACTGGAACAATAATCTTTCTTAATTATCTATGCTGTATATAGGCAAAAAACTCCTGCCTACCTTCCTCCTATTTCACCCAGTAATGACTTCATACTCTTTTTTTATAGTAGCCAACAAAGAACTTAAGGTAAAAAAAGAGTGGGTGATGTGTTTGGCAAAGCCTTGCTTAGGGTTTACACAAAAGAAAAGTGCTGTCTCTACTTACATGGCTTGTCAATAAAAATTTATCCTTAAGTGATTGCCAGTTCCCTTCTTCTCTGAGAAAGGTTCTCCAGGGAAAGTAAAACTGTTTAGGTGATTGAACGGTACACGATATGAAGTAGTTGTGTGAGCAGTTGGCTTTTAAGTGGAGTTACAAAAGTTGCTGTTGAATCTGATCAGTTCAGCATGTTCACACAGCAAGATCATAGAGTTGTCCTAACTGTGCAATGACAATGATAACAACCATTATTCATTATATTTTAGAAAATATGAGGTGAAATGTCAACCTTTAACCATGGTCTGTCAGAAATAGGGAGGGTGGGGTGGGCAGAGGAGGGATGGTATATCTATGAAGATTCTACACAGAAATTCTATTAAAAAAGAAAAAAGCAAACAGCCTCTTAATGTATCTGTTTTCATTCCTGCTGCACATGTGTAGAAAGAGGTGCCTGTGGTGAAATTTGACCGTTTGGTGACAGAAAGCATTTGCTGTACTGGATTGCAAAGTATACTTCCAATATATCTTCAAAAGGAAATGCATTCTCAATTTACAGTGAACCTTGACTATGAAGGACAGAAAGGAAAAAATAAGGTTTTTTCAGTAAGGGATGAAAATTGTAGATTTATAACTTCATGCAAGATTACCAGGGCCTGAGGCAAAAAAAAAAACAACAAAAAAAACCAAAAAAAAAACCAACAAAAAACCAGAGCATGTATCTACTTTACAGCTGCAAAAATAATTACATGATAACTATCTGTGGAGTAATCTCTAATGGATTACATTTTGTTACCATTTCATTATATAATGTTAGAACCAAAATAATTCATAGTAAATGAGAAAAAAACCCTTGTTTTGATGTATCTGTGGTCTGGACCTTTGATGTCCTCCTAAGGCATTCTATTAAGAACTGGTTAATTTGTGAAAGATCTTGGTTTGCAGACAAGGTACAGTGCTTGTAAAGCTATTATAAGACTAAGGAGTGAAGAAATTACAGAAGTAATTTGTTTTTATTATGCAAGCACTGGACTTTGTTGCTTCAGAGGTGCTAAAGTCATCTGAGGTGCTTTCCTCTTAGATTTATGGTGTCTCTCAGACTTGAAAAGCATTATGGTTTACTAAGATCACTTGATTTCATTTTTTTAAAACTTAAGGGTGCTTTTTTTGTATGTCTCTTAGATTTATCCAAGTGATACAAGCTTCAGCAGTAATAAGAGGCTTCTTACTCATGGTCAAAACACCCCTTTTATTGTGTTGCAATAGAACTGTGACGTAGCAAATAAGCTCTTCTGCACTTTCATGTGCTGTTGGCAAAGGGAACTGGATATATGGGCTTTTTTTCATAACTTAGGGCAACTTCTGTTCCTTCTTCTTTAATATTCTTTAGTTTGGAGAAGTGGAAGGAAAAAAAAAAGTAGTAATATTATGACCAGAGGTTCGAAGCCACATCGAGTCTCTAAAGTATTAAAGTAAATAGAAAAAAATCTTTGACTTCAGTAGAAGCAGTGTCAACTTAGCCACTTATACTGTGTGATTTACTGTGCCTGGGTGGCTTGAAGGTTGCTTGGGAACACCAGAAATTACATCTGGTTATTAATGCCATATTCAGTATAAATGGAAGAAGGATATATAAAGTTTTCAGTGTCTGTGAGTAGTATTTTAATGCTTCCATAACTGAAAATAACTTGAAGCATCCAATTTTGATACATCAGTATATGGAGGAATATAGTAAGGAAGCTGTAAGAGAATGTGGGTTAAAGTTAATAAAGCCTTCTTGAAAGCAGAAGGGGAGCTAAAGGATTGGTCTTTTGGCTTACCTTTCTGAATAACTAAAAGTGACATCATTCTCCTCTTTGAAAACGTATTCTTTCTTCTAGATGTAACATAAATTGATGTTATAGCTGAAAATATTTTGAATTTTCCCCAAGTTCATATTAGGAAAATATCCTTGAGTTTTGCTTTTAAGAGAGACAAATTCTTTGTCCTTAGATGGAGCATGCTTTCTGAGGCTTTTGTACGAGAAGCAGTTGGTGCATGTTTTATTTGTTATGTTGTTTCTTGGGTTGGTTTTGTTTTTAATGAACCATGTACTCTAGATCTGTTTAAGAGACCTTGTCTGTCCAAGAGAACATGTTCATCCAATAGCATCTCATTGTTGTAGACTAAATGACCTCCAGAAGTCCCTTTCCACTGAAAATATCCTATAATTTCTTCACTAAGTCCTATCGTTCTGTTTTATTAGTTTGTATTATTAAAGTGATACAGACGTTTCACCCTTGATTATCCTTTTTTAGTGCATTAATATCTCCTGATTCCAGGGCATCCAGAAATTTCAGTCATTGAACTGAAATATTTTAAATGTCAATGCTTTAGTATGGAAAGGGATTAGTAAATTCTGATGATGGCTGGTGAGATCTCTACTATATTTAAGTCTTGTTGGTACAGAGATGTTCTTCATTACTTCCAGAAATTGTATCTTTTTCCTGTAATAGTGGCAAGATATTTTTTATTTATTGCTTTTGATTCCTGTCTACACTTCTTTGTCAACGTGGAACTTTCCCTGTTGTGTATTACATTCCAGTGAACCAAGCTGGAGACACAGGTCGGTGACTGTAGCTACTGTGAATGGTAGGGGATAGAATGTAAAGAATGTGTACTTGAGAAGAAAAAATCAAAGACAGTCCTACTGATTATTGACAGGGCTATTTGACAGTAATCCTCCAAAACAAATAACTACAAATAATTTTTTTCTCCCCTCCTTCGTTTTGGATGAGATAACATTGCAGAAATCAGGTGTGAGGAAAATGTGTACCTTTGGCCCAAAGTAGATGCCCCATTTGCCTTCTGACCATTTTCAAAGGTCTTAACAGCATGAAAGACCTTACAGAGGGGAATGTTTTGGTGGTAGTGCTGTACCTGCCAATCCCCAAGCACAACCACATTCCTTAACAGCTGACAGTAAATCACACCTCACTTTGAAGCAGCATTAACAACCAAACCTCTATTCAGTGGTGAATGTCCATATATCTGTGATCCATGGCTTGAGGGATGTATTTTTTTGCTGCAGATTCTTGGCACTATTTGCTGTTGACACAAGACCATTGCAGGTAGCAAGAATGACAAACAGCTTTCTAAAAATCCTAAGAGTCCTTTGGTTGTAATGTGCTTTCCCATTAAGTTATCCTTTTTCAGCGTGTATGGAGTAACAGCAGCGGAGAGAACTAGCATGTTAGATTTGTTGTCATTTGAGTTATTTTTATATTAAACCTAATGCCACTTACTTGGCAAGACTTAGGAATGCCATTATTCTGTTAAACTGTGTCCTTGTGTGGTCTGCTGAGCACGGTATGTCTCCTCCCCCGAAAAGAAAAATAACCACACAGCTATTGATAAAATTCATAGTGAATGATTGGAGGAAACTAGAGTTTCCTAGGCCTGGGCTTGGCGAAATGATGAGAAAGAACAAATTCTAGTAATGTAGCAAAAATAAAAACCTATGTGAAGGTAGCAAACTTGACTTCTTCCAATTAAAGGATGTGGTCCTGGCTTAGGCTCAGTGATGGCTCCCAGAGATCAGTAAAGATTGTTAATATTTCTCCTTGAAAAAGACACAAACCAAATTGCAAAGATGAGTTTGCCTAAGGCTGGACAAGTGTTTAGTGTCTTGTAGTGTCATCAGAGAACTGGGAGTTTTGGTTAATGTATTAATTTTTGCCAAAAATTCAGGAATGGGTGCAATTCATAAGGCCAACGGCCACTCTTTAACCACAAACCTTTGAGTTATTGGCAGGCCAACCTTGTATCTCAGAAAAAAAATGGACACAAAGCAATCTCTGCAATGCTTATCCCCAAGTCACCTGAGCAGAAGAAATTGTGCCATCTTAACTGTGAGAGGACTCAAAGAATGGTTTGGGTTCAAAGGGACATTAAAGATCATCTAGTTCCAACTCCCCTACCATGGGCAGGGACACCTTCCACTAGTCCAGGTTGTTCAGAGCCCCATCCAACCTGGCTTTGAATGCTGCCACAGATGGGGCATCCACAACCTCTCTGGGCAACTTGTTCCAGCACCTCACCACCTTCCCAGTAATGAATTTCTTCCCAGTACTGAATCCGAACCTGCGCTCTTTCAGTTCAAAGCTATTGCCCCTTTTTCTATCACTACATGCTCTTGTAAAAAGTCCCTCTCTAGCTTTCTTGTCACTTGGCTTGTACGTTGGAAGTTAAATAAGAGTTGCATATGGGTTTTCTGTGTTACTGTGTGGAAGTACCAGAGACCATCTATAGATGCCAAATGATGTTCCTTAACTGATGCGTTCGTTCATATAAAGTGCACTGACAACAGGCAGCATTAAAGGCCAAAACAAAACACTTTTCTGTGCTGTTGGTATATTGTTGGGTAATTTTTTGCTTCGTTTTCTTTATTCTTTCAGTTCTACGGGATGACTTCAGACAAAATCCATCGGATGTAATGGTAGCTGTGGGTGAACCTGCAGTGATGGAATGTCAGCCCCCAAGAGGTCACCCAGAACCGACTATTTCATGGAAGAAAGATGGGACCCCTCTAGATGACAAAGATGAGAGAATTACAGTAAGTATAAAAAGTTCTTCAAACACAAAAATCAACCAATCTAAAATTACTAGGCTCTTGAGCATGTGGGCATCCCGCTGTGCTGTACTTTAGAGGATGTGTTCTTTCCGTGCCTCACAGGCAAGGGCTAGTTTGCATTTAGCTTGGAATGTATCCTCTCATCTCATACGACTTCATTGCAGGGTATGCATTCGTTTGTTAAAGAGGCCCATGCAAAACCTATGTTCTTCTCTTCCTCAGAGGAATTAGAAGCTTGTGGGAATGAAATTCATTATGTTCGTCACTGTCCTATAATTTTCTTACCTTTTATCCACCTACAAGTTTCTGCAACCTATAATATCTGCCTTCTTCAGCTGGAAGGAGAAACAAGTAGTAGTCTCAGTGAAACCTTATTTTGCAATTCCTTTGAAAATAATATATACAGAAAAGTTGGGTGTTGTATGAGAAAGGCTGAAAAGGGGTTGGGGGATATAGACACATTTCTTTAGAGAGGTGATGGCTTATCCTACCATCTCCAATTAAGCTGTTTTCTAATTAGTGCTGTTGCCATACTCATTTGTATGTGTACTTGCTGAATGCGGTCCACGATTATTCAAGATAAAGCAGCATCTCAAATCAGAAAACTATCCATTTTTTAGTGTTTGACATGTGAAACAATAAGCTAATGAACCTAAATGTCTTGCAGAAATGGCAGCAAAAAATGGAGTTCAAAAACCATTTGTATGCTGCCAACGTGGTGAATCAAAACATCTTCCCATATGGTGAGAAACTGTATCCTCTGAAAGCACACACATGTAGGATCCTGTTGGTACTGGAAGGTTTACAAGTGTAAAACAAGATCAGAGGCATATACCATTTTTATATCTCAATTATATACTGAAAGGAGGGAAATGTGTAATGGAAATACACTTAAAACCCAGCAACCTGAGTAAAAAATTACCATTTTTGTTTGAGATTTAAATTTCCTGTTATTCCATTTGTTTTTTGCAAACAAGACAAAGCTCAGGCGTTCTGCAGTTGTGGCATATGCATACATTTAAATTTTTAAGTACCCTACCAAACCTATACTGATTGCTGGCTATTAACTCAATTCTTCCAATCATACTTGCTAAGAACTCGCAATTTCCTTTTCAAATCTCCTTCTCACCGTGACAAGTCAATTGACCTGAGATAAAGAGAAGATTCCAGTACTACCACCTTCTTTTTTTTTTTTCCCCCAGGAAGTGCTTTCTAAACTTGCATTTTCTATTGCTATCATTTATTCTCTTGAAGGATTTTCAGGTGTTTCCTATTAAGTACATTTCTTTTGTTATACATGAAAACTGCTCTTCCAGCTGCTGGAACAAAGACATACCCACAACAAAAGTAGCTATCACTGACTGGCAGTGCCACCTGTACTCTTAAAACTGTTCTTAGGATGAAATAAAACCCCTCAGTTTGGTTTTCTTTTCTGATGATTGTATCATATACTCACCTACATAATATTCTTTTACCCTGACATCTGGTAGAGTTATGCTGTGTTACTCGTTTCTCCTCCTATAAAAAAAAAGAAATGAAAAGAGTTTTGATGCAGGTGTAGATATACACTTGTTTCATGTACCCAAATGTTTTCAGAGGTGTAAATTAGCAGTGCTGCCATAGCTCAGCTCAACTGCATCCATTTATTTCATATTTGCCTGGCATTGTCTTAAGCAGCACTATTAATATCAGGGGTGCCTTCTCACACAGGTGAGAGACTGAAGCTACATTGTAATGCAGATTTGCATCCTCTTACAGCTGGAGCAGGATCTTGCCAACTGGATAAATATACATTCAGATGTACCTCTTTACAGCTTTGCAGTAACCTTCTATATTATCTTACTAGTGGCTGGGAGGGTACAGGACATTGGGAGCTGGAATGGATGACTTGCTAAAGGGCAGATGGGGAAAAAAATATTAATTTTGAAACCTGACTTGGAATTATTCCATTTCTGTTCACTTATCTCCTTTAAGGCATTTCTATTTCAGTTTAGCAATAGAAACATAAAAGATTAAAAGGGTACAAAAGCTGAAATAAGGATGAATTGCTGGGGTTTAAGTGACAGATTTAATTTTCTCGTTAAATCAACCTTTTATTATTTTTTCCTCATTTACGTGTCTGTATTTAAAACAAACACCTACATTCATTTGATGGTAAAATTTTAATTGACTGAGTGGCAGTAAATTTCTGTAATACAATTTACAATTTTAAGCCATGAATTTACCAGATCAGGAAATGTGAAACTATACGTGTTGGTGTTCAATACGTGTGTAATATCAGTGGACCTTTAATCAATGAAAAAACTTGGATGGCTTCACTTCTAAAGCATTTCCAGTTCTTTTAATTCTTAAAGACCTGTTGATCTTTGACTCACTGCAATTTTAAGAGTTTTCTGTCAAAGGCTGTTTGAAGCATTTCATATTAATGCTTTCCTTTCTAACAAGAGATTTAAAATAAACATTAAGATTGTACTTTTTTGAATAAGGAATGATGCTTGACATCTCTTTTTTGGATTCATATATGTACTTTCTTCAAAAATATATGTCTATGAAGCATTTTTAATATATGGAAGCTTTTTTCTCATCTGCGATGACACTTGATCTGTCAGTCAGTGGAACTGGACTTGGCAGACTGAGTATTAAGGGGGCTAAAGAAACAGAGGTGGAAGCTTGGTTCCTGGCAAAGGGTTTAAAGCAAAATATGTGGATAAATAGCAGATAAATAAGATACAAGTTAAGGCACGACTTCCTCGGGAATGCAATAAAAAGAAAATATTATTTTCTCCTGGGTAGGGTTAAGGAAATCAATATGTTTATATAGGTGAGATAATAAAAATCAAAGTAGTCTTTGCATGGTTTTGGTCCATTTGTAGGGCAAATAAATGTGCTTTGAGGAGAAATAAATGTGCATGTCTTTCAGGTTATAAACGAGTGAATGGAACAAATAAGAAGTGAGAGTTAGGGTATGGGCGCAGCTATCTGTGATGGGGATTATAGAAACAGGCCTTTTATTTAAGCACAGCTCTCCCAGTAATGCTCAGTGTTAGCACAAGTGAGACTCAGTGTAGGCTCTTCAGTGCACACATCTGCTCACTGCATCTGATGAAGAATTATCATCAAAAAGGTTTTTCTTCAGCTCTTGAATGTGTTGTCTGTAAACAGTTTTCTCAGTGCATTGGAGCTAAACATGGTTTTTCTCATGTGTGTTCTTTACACCACAGTACGAAAGCACATGCTTGATGTGGCTAATCCCTCTCCATATATTACAAATGAAGCGGGAATGATGGTCTTGCCTGTGAAGCAGATGCTTACCTTTCACTTAATTTATTGAATTGAAAAACAGTTATCATGAGGACAGAGCAGAACTAGTGTGATTTTGTGCTCATCTAGTTAATTTTTCTCCTGGGATTACTGTGGAATCAAGAATCCCTCCTGTAATATATATAGCTGAAAAAGAGTTCCTTATTGCAGTCCAGTGAATAGCTCTAATTTCTCACTGTGGCAAGGTAAAGCTCAGATGTATTTTTTCAATTTCTGAAGTGATCTGTCTGCACTAGGAGAGGCTGTGTGATGCTCCTCTTGGAGCTGAGACATGGTGGAGAAAGGCGATGCAAGATTATGTCTGTGAGTGAGAGAGAAGGGAGCTCACCGGGGTGGGGAAGTTCCTGGTTCTGTTTCCAGCCCCTCATGATGTTTACACATTTGACATCTGTGAAGTTCATAGGCCCACTCACTGCTCGGAGTGAGGATCTAGGCCAGGACTCCAGGCTTCCAGGTATCCTCACCAGGAGCAGCTCTGCTCCCAGCCCCATCAGTCTAGCCATCTTTTTTGCATGGCAGCACAGTGTCATTAGGATGTAGCCACATGTGTCACCTTGGTGCCAAAAGCTGTGAGTTTGCATTCCCTCAGGCTGAGGAGGAGGTGCAATCAGTGTAGTTTCTGCTGACTGCTGTAATCACTAGGTTTGGTCTGTCCAAATGTATCATGTCTGGATACAGTCGGCAGGAGCGGCAGTGGCTGTGAGTACCATTAGCAATGACTTCTCAGGCACTCACAGTAATCACAGTGAATATTGGTTGCTTGTAAGCCTGTGAATCCAGTGTGCCTTCATTCACTTCTCACCCATCTTCCTGTTGTACTCCAGAAACCTCCCAGTACTTTCCAAATGGTGTTCCCACTGCCTTCCTCCCACACACCACTGCCATTAAATTTTGACCTCATTCCCCATCCATTTCCTCCATCTCACCACGTGTGCTTGCGTCCATCCAGCCTGTCTGGCTCTGTCATCTGATTAGTGGTATCTGCTCGTGTGGAGGTACCAATTTGGAAGCTTGGATAAGCAAACTCTCCTGCAGGATGCTGGGATGTAAAGGCATTCCTCATCTGGCTCTGCTGTGGATGCAAATGGCTGGTGTGCCGTGATTTGTGACGGCCGTGGCGGGGTCTGTCTGCGTTAGGCTTGCTCAGAGCCTCCCTCAAGGAGCTGCCTTTCTGCTCTGTCTTCTTTGTTAATCCCAAATGCAATTGCCTGTGTATAAGATGCTGACATCAGTAATCTAACCAAGATGGTGGGGCCTTTGAGCATATCTTTAGGCAAAAACTGGCAGTAATTACAGACTCTCAGGAGCACGGAGTGTTCAAAGAGGATTTTGCAGATCTCCCATCTAGACAGGGCAACCTCCATGTGCTTTTGGATCTGTCTCTCAATTTGTCTTGTATTTTAGCTGCAATGCCTGCATAATTGACTAAGCCTCAATAAAATCAGGATGCAGTCAGAGTGCCTGTAATTATCAATACTTTCCCAGGGGAGAATGTATACACATCCTGCATAAGCTCCAGAGCAAACTGATGTTTGAGTCAGGTTTGTAGGTCAGAGTTTCACAACTGCATCTGTTCCTGCCCCACGACCACTAGTAGCCCATGCTTCAGAAAGCTACCTAATTTTTCACATCAAGTCATGGTGTAGGTAGTAGAAGAAAAA